GAAATTACGAACATTGCTCAACATCATGAAAATTAAACCTTATTTTCAATAAGCAATCCTGGAAAATATTTAGGGGTGCTTAACTTTTTTCCAGGTGTATATATCATTATTTGCTGTTTATTTGTATTTTTGGACATTTTAATATGGTATTGTCTTTGAGTATAGTGCAGTTTACTGAAGAAATGCTCTACTGCTACACTTCCAGCCAGAATGCAGAGTGAAGTTAATGCCGCTGCAGGCAGAGCTGGGTATCTATCTGCAGCATCCTTCCAGTATCTCACTGCTGTGAATTTTGGATTGTTTAGAGAAGGTTCTGCTGTGTATTGACTGAATTCTGAGTGCAGAGCTTCAGTTATCTTCCCCAAGAGAAAACATTTTCTTGTAGTAGTAAAACTCATGACTCTGAACTGACTTCAGGAAAGGATTCGGCACTCTTGTTTGCATCCATGGCTTCTTTACAGTGGTAGACACATTCCTTTCAGTTATTCCTTTCCATTTTTCACTCGGGACTACACAAAATTCATTAATGGATTGCCTCACAAAAGCAACATCTTTAGGTGACAGCATTTCTAAAATTTTACTGCACTTTTCTGTTGGTGCGACCTCGGTACTGTAATCCAAGCAAGTGGAAAGCTTGACTTTTATAATGCGGTACATCTTGTGTACCATCTCTTTCCAGTTTTTTTCTGCACAGTTAAAACTGGTTTAAGATTTTCTTCCTGAAACGCAAGCTTGGCATAAATTTTTGTTTTGCTATTAATGAGTGGATAAAACCCAAAAATCAGAGCCCCTAACTAAATTTCTTATACTGACAAGACAAATAGTAGGTGCTTAACAATTGGACTATATTTCCTATACAGATAACACAAATGGTAAGTGAATAACAGTTGGACAGTATTTCCTATGCTGACAATACAAATGGTAGGTGATTAACAGTTATGTAATTAAAAATTGGTGTAACTTTACTGTAGGAATGGTATAAGTTTCTCATGAAATTCTAGTACATGTATTTCACAAATTGAACTTGTTCAGTGTATTAAATTTCTTTGTAGGATTGTCTTTTTTTTTTTCTGAAAAAATTAAGATAAAGAAATATTAAATGATAAATTAGTAGTGTCAATTTTCTAATGAAAAATCATACATCTATAAGAAAATGTCAGTCATTTAATCTTGAATCTTAATTTACTGATGTTATAGAAAGTGATCTTTCACTTTAATCTATAAATATGTAATGATGTGGAATCTTCTTTTACATGTTTTTACATTACAGATGTTGATTTGTAATCTTATGATCTTATGTAACAGTGTAGTACTATTTCTGTAGATTAGTGTTTCAAACTTTGTTACAGAGTTAACTTTGTTAAAATATGATGTATGAGTGCTTGTTTTCTGGTTATATTGATGTTATGTTTCCTAATCTACTCAGGCCCTAGGCAACTTGTATTTTATCCACAACTCTCTGAAGAATGTTCAGATCTGGGATTTTCATGGTGAGTAAACATCATGTTCCTCAAGTGAAAAATCAAAATCTATATTGTTTTTTAATAGATGTGATGAATGTGTTTAATTTTCTCATATGTGTTGTTATGTGTTACATTTTATGTGAAACACTATTGAAAAAAATTTAAACTGTTGGATTTTTTTTTGATAACCTACTTATCAGTTTATTTGCTGTATATTAATATATGAACTGTGATATGTAAAGTTAAATGAAAAATAAGTTGTTCTTCTTTTCCAGTACAAAAGTTTGCTATATTTAACTTGGGAATAAGCATTAAATTGTGTTGTGATGAAAATTGTAGGAACGTTTTTTTTTTTAATTATTCCTATTGGTATTCTATGAGTGATCTTGGTTTGATGTATGCAGACTTCTCTTGTTGTTAAAGAGTCCATTCTCTCAAAATAATATGTGTTACATGTTCCTCAAACTGTCTCAGCACCTGCTGTGATTGTTACATGTTATCTGATAATTAACTTTATATATTAAAGAGTTCTCATACTTGACATATGAAAATTCCATAATTTAGACACATTTAATCATCATACATCAATATTAACAGCATTAACAAAGAGTGTGATTATTATTATAAGGCATTTAGGTACAAAGCACTGGTAAATTTTAGAGATTTTGACATTTGTGATGGAGAATTATTCATGGGAAAAACTCTTAAAAGGAACCAGGCCCCCCAGTGGCACAGCGGTATGTCTGCGGACTTACAATGCTAGAAACTGGGTTTCGATACCTGAGGTGGGCAGAGCACAGATAGCCCATTGTGTAGCTTTGTGCTTAATTCCAAACAAACAAATAAAAGGAACCAGTAGTCATATTAGTTATGCAAATCTTGATATTAAGTACACATGTATTAAAGTTAAAGGAATTAAGCTGTCAATATGGAAATGGCATCCAATCTAAATAGATTTTTGTTATGAATGTGCTTCAAAAAGTCTGTTGTAATTTTGTTGTCCAAAAAAACAATAACTGAGAATCATGATTTTCAAATGTAAAATAATGTTGCTGAGAATTCAGGCAATTCATAAACAACAACATGAGAAACCTGAGAATTGAAGTACGAAAGACCTTTGTCTATCCAATTCTTTTTAGAATGACTTAAAAATAGATATGTCAGTCTGAATTGATTGTGACATTGTTAGTTTATAAAAAAAAAACCCATAAGTAATTGGACCGATTGGTTGTAAAAAAAAAGTAAAAAGATATGTAAAAATACCTTTAACATTATTGTGCAAAAAACCAAGTTAAAAAAATTTACTAATGTTAACATTATTCTCTTAAATGTTAACATTTAAAGGTTGTATATTAAAACTGGCACTGTAAAGATTAAAATTCTATGACCAAACTATCCAAGAAATCAACATATTCATGTATAGTTAATGTGTTTTTATCTAATTTTCTTTAAAATCACATTCAAAAAAATCTGTTTTGTATACTTAAATTAGCAATGTTTGACATTATGTATTTTTTGTGAATTTCTGAAGAATAATTAAATGTACCTGTTGTTTTAAGGTTTGTTGTAAACAGTCCTAGTTGTACATGCAGAAAATTTTCTACCTCCCTTAAAATGTGTCCAGCTTCTTTTGAATTTGGAAATTTGGTGCATTAAATAGTGAAATTTGGAATCTTTAAAAACTAGCAATAATTTGTTAAGTATAAACACATTGATAGCAGTTTTCCAACATTTTAATTTTTTCATTGACTTAATTATTTGCATAATATTTAGAATTGTGAAACATGCTGACAACTGTATCTAGGAAGGCCCTTTTAATCATAAAATATTTGTAATGTTACTATTCTTGTTTATACAGTATCTTTGTACTAACACGTAAAAGTGAAGTGAGAAAAACATCTAACATTCTTGGTTATGCATTACCCTTGACACAGCATGCTTGTGATAAAAGTGTCATCTGCCATCTGTTAAAAAATAAGAATATCATTAGTCACAGCATTTAAACCCAATGTTGCAGATTTGTAACAACTGCAGGATTGAGAATGTTACACGTAAAATTAGGAAATTCACAGATTGTTTTTGGTATTGAGAAAGGGGTTAATATATGACTCCAGAATTATCCAAGGCATGTAATATTGTATTCTTTTAATATCTTTTTAATTATGTTTTCCCTAGAATTAGAATTTCTATTCCTTATTGTAAGTTTAATTTCAGTTGATTCAAAGCATACAAACCAGTTTGACCAAATGCTGTATAATCTAAGTTAACAAAAGAGTAACTCCCATCTATTAACAAATTTTGTTTTAGTATGTGCAAAAGAACTTCGAAACATTAAAAGACATCTTAAAACTAGGGTTGGTAATATGAAGAAAATCAGTCATTCAGCAAAAAGGAATGTGCAATTAAATAATTGTTTATCTTTCTTTAAATCATTAAAAAAGTCAGAAGGTGATGTTTTGATTTTAAAAAATATTTTTATGCTTTTAAGAAAACTGTTACCATTGTTATATTAATTTTCAATATGCTTAAAATTTAGAAATCAAAAATTAACTATATTTTTGAACTTAAAAAAAATAAAGTTTAACTAATTTATTTTGTAGCTGACTCAGCTTCTGTTTGTATGCATGATTTAATAGACCAGATTTTTCAGGAATGATTTATAATGTGTTATACCTATGTTTTTAAATAAAAAGATTAATGCATGTTTAAGGAAATACATCTTACTTTTTTTTCTTTTTCAAATTATACAATCTAAAGTGTTTTATAGATAGCCTTGTGCTTTTTGTTTCTGTGCCAAAGAAGAGGGCCTATGTTAATTTAAGTTTATTACAATTTTTGAAATGAAGAATTATAGTTACGTATGTATGTGTAAACATCTAACATTAAAAGCTAGTGTGGGGTGTCTGTCATCTCACTACAGTTTATTTTTAGAATGTCCTTGTGGTAATTTTTATTCTTTTGTGCACTGGTTATTTTGGAAAATGACGTTTGTGGTGACATACTTAGAATGGCTGGATATATACTTATAATAACATGCAAGATGCATAACAGGACATTACTTTTTTGGGTAATTAATATTGTAACACTGTAGTCTGTTCACTTTTTTTTTTCATCTTGGAATCTGTTTATTAGCAATTACTCATATGAGTTTTCTGATCCACTTTTCTCCACTCATTGGCCTTCATGGTGTATTTTTAGCTTTTTTTTTAATAGTTTTCCCTCTATTTTTATCATGCTCTTAAGAAGTACTGCTTGAATTATAACATTCAAAGAAGTGTCTAACAAAGGAGTTATCTTTTTTATATTTAGTTTATGTATCATATGTAATTATAATGAATAGTGTCATGTTTATTATAAATTATTTCACAAGACTTAATTTTCAAAATGTATTGATCAAAAAGTGAAATCATGAAACTTTACCATAAATATACTTTATATAGATTTATTTTGTAGAAACTTCATTATTGAAAGAAAATACTTAGGCAGTAATGGTAGAGGTATAAGAAAAACTACATATAATAGATGACTAAATACCTTTATTTCAAAGCCTAAGTTAAGCTTTATATGTTCTCATTTAATTGACTTGTCTTCAGTAACCAGTAAAAAAAAAATAGAAAAAATATGCATCGTAAAAAATTTCCAGCTTCATACCTCAAATTATTTTTAGAGCTGCTTATATAGTATATGTTTATGACAAATTTGATCTATTTGAAACTTTGCAGGATGAAGTGTAAGTAAAAAAAAGTTGTTTTTCATAATAGTGAAATAAGTTATTCTTTGAATTCTTACAGTGTGACTAGACACAATTTTTGCTTTACCTATATATGTGTGTGTAAAACTGACTCCAGTATATATGAAACACATGTAGATAAGGTTTGAAATAAAAAGAAATATCAATACTATATATTTCCCCCCAAAAATGCACACACACACAGATGTAAGAAAGTAAAGAGACTGGTACAGAAGTCAATACAAAGTTTATTTAACTAGACTGTCAAAGTATATACCTGAAGTAATTTGTATGATAAACACTGGCACCTAAACAAATGTAAATGTATCAAAATAGAAAACTGAAGAAAAATAACAAATGCAGTAAACAAAAGAAACTTAATGGAAATATTTTCACTTCTTTGTGTAATATTTTTATAAATTTGAATTTTCTAGTTTTCATGGAAAACCTGCTTTAAGTTAATTATTCTCCAGCAATTTCAGTAGACATTTTCATTTAAAATATATATATATATATATATATATATTCATTCTTTGCCCATCCATATTAAATCAATTTATCATCACATATGTTTACTTAGAAAGTTGGGTTTGGTTTATTTATTGTGAAATGAGGTTTGTGTTAGTACTTTTTATGAAACCTTAAAACTTTTATTAAGCAAGATTATCATTAATAAATCTTATTTAGTATGTTTATTAAAAATTTGAATAAGTTAATATATATTAAAATATAAATTGTGATATCTTCCATTTAGAAATAGTGTTAATCTACTGTAGAATTAAGCATGTTTTGATATTCACTATGTACATGAAAACCTGGTTTAAGCTAATGTTGTGCTTAAGTTAGCATACTGTAGAAGGAAGTATGTGTTAATCTTTGTATCTTGTACATTTGAAATCAGGTTTGGGGTAATGAAGTTTTTATTCATTTTCAACTCGTATTTTAGAAATTAAGGTTCAGTTTGGTTTATGTTGCTTTCCGTTCTGTATTTTAGGAATTAGATTTAAGCCAATATACAGTGATGTTTGCATTAATCTCATTTAGCTTAGTGTTCTGTGGAATAATGCTTGTGTTCATTTTAATCACATAACCAGGAAATCCAGATTGTTTTTACTGTATGATGATATCTTTGATAATATTCATCCTGAACCTTTAAAATTTGTACTGTGTTAGGATATTATAAAATAATGTGTATATTAATTTACATGTTGTATCTAGAAATTGAAAAGTAGTTAATCTGCTGTGAAATTAAGTTAGTATTAATTACATGCAGTACAGGTCTATATGTAGTTATGTTTTGTTGTCCTTTTAAAAACTTTATTGTTGAAAAGTACACCATAATGGATATTACTCAGTGTATTTGATGTTCATGTTATGTGGTTCTTGTTAACTCAGTGTACTATTTGATGTTCATGTTATGTGGTTCTTGTTAACTCAGTGTACTATTTGATGTTCATGTTATGTGGTTCTTGTTAACTCAGTGTACTATTTGATGTTCATGCTATGTGGTTCTTGTTAACTCAGTGTACTATTTGATGTTCATGCTATGTGGTTCTTGTTAACTCAGTGTACTATTTGATGTTCAT